GTGAATTTACTTGGATGCTGTACTTCTTCTGGAGGACATTCGAATCAACACCTGAACTGCAAGCTATAATCACTCAGCCTCTAGCAGTTCGGGAGGAAACGAACGAACGGGGATCTGAAATACCAGCGTTCGTTACACATTACTTTTGATGCTATGCACTATTACTCCTGTTACTATGTACATTGTGCAGTGTTACTCTGATGTTCTACATGATTAGCTTTCCCTGAGTTTTGTTTGCTGTTGAGAAATATAAGAGTGAGTAATGTTTCTGTAAACAGGTTGATTGTTTTATATAAAATTCTCATACTATTCCTCAGATGGACTAAATGGGCCACGGAACAGAACGGGTACCTGGGGGCCGTGGTACGGAAAGCCCTGGATGGATACCTTCAGCAGTCCTGGTAAAGTACATTACTCAGCAATACTTGGATCACGCCAGGTACCGGGCAGCATGGACAGTGACCCATAGCTTAAATAAGAATGGAGCAACATACTAAAAGTGGAGCAATCACCATGGAAACAAATGGAATCTACATGCTGAATGCTCCAAATTCAGCAAATCACAATTCATTTCCAGAGAGTGTTATCCACTGCTAATAACCGACATTAATTTGTATCTGGAAATGCGATATGTTAGCTGCTGAGTAACAATCTCAGGTATTGATAGTTTTTATGTCTATTTGGAACAGTCATACTGTGATGGTACCTATATAAACCAATATACTATATAACAGTGCCACATTATATAAGTACATACAGCTACTGTACAAACAACTCCACATTAACAGGACTGTACAAAGAACACATGGTTTTACACGGAGGTTCTTTATAGTGAGATCAATAAATATGTGGAATTTGGAGTTTGTTTGATCAGACTCACCACTATGTTTAATATTGGTTTATAGAGGTCTGTGATAGTTAATCCAATAAGAAATCTGATTCACGCTTTGGAGTCAATAAGATTTTTTTTCCCCTTTTTTGCTATAATTCCTCCTTTTTTGGATCAACAGTGAAGTGAATGAATGGACTTTTTCCAAACTCTCTAACTATGTAACATGGTGATTCCCCTTCACTGTACACATCCTAAAGTACCATGTATTGTA